CCCCCTCCCTCCCGGCTCGTAGTCGGCGGCCTCCCTCTGCTCCTATCTAATGTCCTGTCCGAGGCCAGCGGTCCAGATCAGTGACGCAACCCAGAGAGGAAGCTCAAAGGATGAAGAGCTTCATTGTGTTAGGATATGATGTCATTCTGATGGTGCTTGGCTGAGAGACAGCGGCGGAGAAGGACTGAGAGAGAGAGAGGAAGAGAGGGAGAGAGAGAGAGGGAGGCCTCACTGACTGTGTGTGTTTGTGTGACGGTCGTTTTTCTTGTTGTGTGTGTTCGTGTTGAAAAGGGGCGGAGCCTCATTCACACTTAAGCAGGCGTGAAACAAAAGCCATCTTTTCTCTCGTACCGATGACATCACAGTGTGGCTAGAACCTGGTCTTCATGCCGAGTTTGTCCCAGATCCTTAAACAAATAAAAAAAAGAGAAGTTTGTTTTAATTGGTGGAATGAATCACATTTTGTTGAACAGAAAGTTCAGATAGATCTGAGGTTCAGACCACTTCATGTTTTCATTCTGGTTTCACTATTTTGACTTTAGTTCAATTTTGGATCGTTGACCTTTTAGATGCTGAAATCACGTTGTTTTTTTTTATACATTTGGGTAATTTTATATTATTATGGCTACACTGGCTAACATAAATCAATTTAAAGTAAAGAACTAGGCCAAAATAGTTCTTTGATTTAAAGACTCCAATATTTTGGATAGTCTATGTTTTAGTCTTTGATCTGTCCACGTTCTAACTCTTACTTTAGCTGATTTAATCTTGCGTTCTCTCAGCTAACCATCTATTCTACTTTAGCCATCCTTGGCTAACTTAGCCATCGTTTGATCACTTTTTTGTATCTCATGACCTATTTTTATACTAACTCCGTTTTCTTGACGCTCTTGTCTATTTAAAAGGAACTCCTGAGACTTGGAACTGGCAGGTACTGATGATCGGGACAAAGGAACGTTCACATTAAAAGACGAAAATGACAGTGAAGCATCAGTGATAAACTCAGATGATAAAGTCTGGTCTTGACGTGTCTCCTGAGCTTTTCAACTTCCTGTTACCACACACACACACACACACTGCTCCACAACAGGAATTTCCCTTATGGTGTTACAAACCTCGTTACAGAAACAACTAAAGACGAAAATCCCCGCACGCAAACACACACACAGGGTTGATT